CTCGATACTGTTTTCCAGAGTGGCTGCACCAGCTTGCATTCCCAAGGCATTCCTTAATTTTAGCATTGTTTGCCATCTGACAAGGCACAGAATATTCTAGACCAGCAAATCCTGGCAGCTTTGTAAGAAACCTTCTTTAGCTTCTCTCTTTGCTCTCACATTTTACTTTAAGCAGCAAGAAGAAATCAGACAGCATGTTCAACACCTTGCTTGGAAATCTGCATAGCTGAATCACATCTCCTTAAGTCTGTTTCCTGCTTTGCATATCTCAGTAGGCAATAATGTAACTGAACTTTCTGCCACTACATGACAAGGATCTGTCCTCCAGTTTTTAATAATATTTTCTTCATTTTCCTTTAAACTCTTGCCTATAAAGCCTCCTCAGAGTCCATCAAGCATCTACTAACAGCTATTAATTAATTAATTATACTATTTATTGAAAGCTCTTCATCCTTGCACTTAACACCCTCCTCAAACTCATTCAGATTTCCTGTACAATTTCCAATTTCAAAGCAACTCCCACATCTTGGGTTTCCATTATGGCACCGCAACACTTGGAGGCACCCAAATTTTTATTGTCTATTGTTGTGTAACAAATTCCCCTGAAGCTTAATTGGTTAAAACAATAATAAATGTTTATTAACTCAAACGGTTTCTGTGGGTCAGGAATTTGAGAGCAGCTTAGCTCCATCATGCGATTCAGGGTCTTGTATGGTGTCGTGTGGAGCCTCGGTCATCTGAAGGCTCGACTGGGGCTTGAGGCTCGAATCCCTTGAGGACCCCCATAGATGGCTGACAAATAAGTGGTGGTTGTAGCTGGGAAGTTTCAATTTCTTTCCCCGTGGGCCTCTCCAGAACACTGCTGAGCATCGTCAGCATATGGCAGTTGGCTTCTCCCAGTGTGAGTGATCCCAGAGGCAGCAGCAAGACAGAATGCCCTCTGTCTTTTACGACCAAGACTTGGAATGTCATTCATACACTATCCTATTGGTCACATAGGTCACCTCTAATTCAGTGTGGGAGGGAGACACAAAAAATGAGCCCAGGAGAAGAGAATCTGTGACACCCCCTTGGAGGCTGGTCGCCACATAGTCCAACATGAAGACAGTGATTTTGCTTTTCAAAATGGATTTTGTTTTACCTTTTTTTGTTGTTGTTGTTATTTCAAAAGAAATAAATGTTGGTTACATGCAACTGAACACAAATACTTTTGTATACCATTTTGTATATCCTTTTTAATTATATATTTTATAGTATAAATACTTTTATGTATCCTAAAATACTGGTATATATCCTTTTCTAGTCTTTACATTTTGAGGACTTTACTGGTAGGGAATTCCTAAAGTAAATCTGAGTCTTCATTGAACATGTTTTCCTGGCATTGTAAAATGGACAAACATCTCCAGTTATATTAAGGGATGTTTTATTGCACTCAGGGCTTCTCTTCTCCCTCCAATAAGTAAGCACCACTTTTTCTTCTTATTCTGCTGGTGGGCTAGGAGTTGTCCACGATAACTATCCTTTAGAGTTGACGGGGCTGTTTTTCCCTGAGGAAAGCCCTTGGACTTTCGAAGTGCCTTGAATTGGAACCACTTGGGATTCAGAAGCAACTAAAACCCTTAATGCCCTAGAGTGCTTGACTGACCAGTTCAGGAGAGAAATCACATATGCCTGGCTCTTCCAAGTTGCACAGTTAGAGTTTTTGCACAAATATGGTCCACACCTTACATCCATTCTGAAATCGGAGACCCATCAACCAGTTGAATCAGTTCTGCCAACTCCTACAGGGGGCCCAGTGTTCCTGACAGCTCCATCCCGCTTGCTCCAGGAGGAATGTTCCAGGCTGAGGAAGGAAGGTGGTCCCCCAAATCTTGGGTATTTAGTCTCATGTAGAGTAGAGAGTTCTCTGTCTTTGAAGAACAGGTCTCTAGAGAGGCTAGTTATAGTGGTGCTTTCAGAGTCCGAATGGAAAACATGAGCCTCAAGAAACCAAAAACGTCCTGCTTTGGGATCCCTGGAATCCACATGCTTATTCCATCATCACAATGTTTTCCTCTCTTGTATAAGGAGGTAGCGTGCTTTCCTTCCTTCTTCCCTTCCTTCCTACCTAGGTAACCTAGATTTAAAAAAATTACACTGGTAATACAGGTTTATTGTAGAAATATTAGAAAACACAAATAAACAAAAGGAAGCGAAGTGAAAGTCACCATCCAGATTTAACCACGTTAAAATTTGAATATATATCCTTCCAAACATTGAAGGTTTTTCAGGGTTAAAAAAAGAACCAAGCTAGTACTTTCTTGCACTGAACATGCTTAGGTAGGACCATTATATGGGCTGATTATTTGTGAACTTTTCCCTAACTTGGAAATGACTGAAAAAGCATACAAAATATTAGGCAAAAGTTAACACAGTTTTCATGAAATATCCACTTATTTTCCTCTTTCTATTTTTTCCCCCTATTATGTAAAGATGGGGATGAAAGAAGGTAAAGAGGTAAGAAGAAAGTTTGGTGGAGAAACACGTTTAGCAATGAGAGAAGAAAAATCAACTCAAATGAAGAGATATTAACATGTTTCAGGCCAATCAGGGGAGAGGGAGGGTGGCAGAAAACCCACGTGGACCAGCATCTTTGCCCAGTCAGGGATGAGGCTAAGGGAGGCACTGAGACTAGTTAAGTCAGTTGTCTGAAGTTGGTGCTGATGAAATCAAGGGATGCAGTTCATCACTGCGTTCAACAGTGAGTGTCCCTCAAAGGTTCTGATCTCATCGCGGGGACAGCAGTTGGAAACAAATGTCTCACAAAGGCATATCACGAGTCCCAGGGGCAGCTTGGTGACAGTAGGAATGACTTGGTCTAATCCAACATTACCCCCCGGGGGGATGAATGCCCTAAAGCCCGTCTTACTGATACAGGTCGTGGTTTTTACCTGACTGCACATGATAACCTTGTTGGTTTGTTGGTTTCTTTGAATTGCAGTTCAAATTGCCTTAATATTTGGTGCAAGAGTATTAGACTATGTCTTCAGTTTATGTGAAGGTAAATTTGACTTCCTTGAACGGCTCTCCGACAATTTGCTCCTGAGTATCATTTCTTATCTGGATCTTGAAGATATTGCCAGGCTTTCTCAAACATCACGCAGATTTGCAAAGGTAACAGATAATTATTTTGTGTCTATAAAGGTTTTTCCTTGTGCTTCCTCAAAGTTTTAATTTTTTCTTTCTTTTCGCTTTATTCTTCCTTTCCTTTCCTTTCCTTTCCTTTCCTTTCCTTTCCTTTCCTGCCCTGCCCTGCCCTGCCCTGCCCCTCCCCTCCCCTCCCCTCCCTTCCTTTCCTTTCCTCCTTCCTTCTTTCCTTCCTTCCTTCCTTCCTTCCTTCCTTCCTTCCTTCCTTCCTTCCTCTCTTTCTTCTTCTTCTCTTTTTAAACATAGCAGTGGTTTATTGTTTGCATTTATTTTAGCAAGCATTTGTTGAATACTTAATCATGAGCACTGTTTTAAGCACAGAGGCAGCAGAGGTGAAAAAACATTATTTCTGCCCTCCAGAAATTTACAGTCTAATAGGTGAGATCCAAACAAATACAAGTTATTACAATTTAGTGTGAACAGTTCAACAAGGGATGCGTGTATGAGGTACAAAGACAGTGCAAAGTCATTTCCTCTGCCAGGCTTCACAGAAAGGGCTATTTTATCTGGGTTTTCAGGAGGGAAATAAGAGTTCACCAGGTGGTCTGGAAGACTAGGGGCATTTCAGGTCAAGGGGCATTCCAAGTTCAGGCAGAGGCACGGCCACATGAAAGAATAAGGTAAGTAGTGGCTGCCCCTTATCTACCTCCATTTCTTCCACTAACCATCCTTTGCAGAATTATCTATGCACGGTGTGGATGGTTTTAGAGAATTGTTCTTCATGATGTTCTCATGAACAGGTTCTTCAGCCTGTTCTCCATGCCCCAGGCTGACCAAATGGACTCTCTCACTACTCTGAATCCTCAGCAGAATGACACGACATCAGAAGACACGCTTGGTGCAATGTCAGGGCCTTGATGCAACCATTATTGGTTCCTCTCCCTGGATCCTGGAAGGTGCCTTGGTTCCTGCCCCTTTAGCTCTTCTTAGACACACATACTGTCCTTCCATTAAATCCTTTTTTGGCTTAAATTAATCAGAGTTGGAGTTTGTTTGAAATGGAAGAAACCTAGGTTAGTATTTAGTTACAATATACTGGGGCACAATGACCATTTATAAAAGAGCATGCAACGTTTCCCAGATGACTTAAATCATAATCTTTTTTTTTAAGAAGTATTCATCTATTTTTATTTTATTTTATTTTACTTTGTTTCGTTTCGTTTCATTTCTATTTTATTTTATTTTATTTTATTTTATTTTATTTTATTTTATTTTATTTTATTAAGTAGGCTCCACACCCAATGTGGGGCTTGAACTCAGGACCCTGAGATCAAGAGCTGCATGCTCTACTGACTGAGCCAGGCAGGCGCCCCTAAATCATAATAATCTTATTATCTAGAGAGTCAATGCTTTTGTCACAATCATGCCATAATATTTCTTGATTTTCATATATTAATTTAAAATAATATGTTTGATATTATTTGATGTATCCCCTTTGAGAATAAAAGCGTATATTTTTTACTGGGTTTTCCCCCTAAAAATGGAGAGCCAGAAGCAAGTATTAGAGCAGTCACTGTATATTTTTTTGCCATTAAAAAATGTATTAACGTGAAGGTCGGCTGCTGATAAGAAGCTGATTATTCATACTTTCGGTGCAAAAGAATTTAAAATACATAAAATGTACTAGTGGGGATCTATGGAAAGCTTTTGCTAGGGCCTGCGCTTGTTCCTGAAATGAAATGGAAGAACTTGACAGAAAATGGCAGCAACTGCAGTGTCTTCTGGAATTTATTCCTTGTGCTGAGCACCTGTCTTCCTTCTAGGTTTTGCTCACTTCCACTCTCGATTACTCTCCCTCTCAGGGTCCTGCCATTATTTCAGTGCGGTCTTGGAAATACCCTCCGTAATTTACCTGCTGCTCTAAAGTAAGGCTTTTCTAGGTTGCTGATTTCAGCTCTCAGTATCCTTGCAGAGCAGAATTATTAGGAGACGGAGCCTGGTCCAAGGCTGCTGCTGTTTTTCCTTCCAAGCAATATTAACCACGCATTGCTATCTTCGGTCTACATTTTACCTGGACACCATTTACTTACTTTTCACCTGCATTTAGAAACGATTTTTATTTACCTGTTTGTCCTATCATTTATTTACTACATTATCTTATTAGTGAAAAGAAGAAAGCTTCCTTTTCCAATTCCTGCGGACAAATTTATTAGCAAGTTATTTGTGACTGCGTCCAACCCTTTCCTCTGATCTCGGGGAGGGAGGTGTTCCTCTCTTGTGCGAGGCCCGGGCCACCTGCCACCTGGCTCCAAAGTCCAACCTGGGGAACTTCAGTCTGTCGCTCGTCTCCTTTCTCTTCTGTGTTGTTGCTGCTGTTTTTAAAAAGCCTTTTCTGTTTATAAATAATTTTAGATCTGTAAGTGTTGCAAAGGCAATACAGAGGGTTCGCATATGCTAACACCTTACGTAACCGGGACATTTATCAAAACTAAGCAATTAATATTGATATAATACTGTTATGGGATAGCCATAGACTTTATTCGTATTTCATCGTTTTTTCCACTAATGTTCTTTTGCCGTTCCAGGATCCAGTCTGGGATACTATGTTGCATTTAGTTCCTATCTTTAAATCTTTCTTTCAATTGTTTTTTCCTCTGGGTGCATTAATTTTCTCAAATCAGTCTTCATCCTGCAGAAACCAAAAACTCTTGACTCGATTTGTAGCCAATCTCTTTCCTCTTCTCTTTGGGAAAACAAAACAAAACAGTTTACAGAACAATTCACCCTCAGCGAACTAGCGTCATCAATAGAAGTGAGATTGTATAATCCATGATGAAATGAGAACAGTAAGTAAATGCGATATGAAGAGTTGGTTATCAGGCTAAATTTATTCCATTTAAATGATCATCCTTTATTGGAGGTTAGGCCTTCCTATCCTGGGGAGAGTTAAAATGCCCCCCCCCCTTTTTTTGTATTAAATAGTGACCTTAAAACGTGATCATTTTAACAAATTATCCTTATTGGAAAAATAAAAAAATTAGCTACCTTATTTTGGTTCTTAATTTTGTTTCTAGAAATTTCACTGGTCTTCCAGCAGCCTAAGTATTCCAAATGCCACTAGTCCACGGTCACCCTACCTCATCGTCTGTTCCCTCCTCTCTCCGTGCCTCCTAAATATCCCTGGCCTCGTTCACAGTAACCCTCTCCTTGTCACATCTAAAGGACCTGTTTCGGGCCTTCCTCTTCCTGACCCATCTCTGCTTCCAGGATTCTCTGCTGGGTTTTCTTGTGGCCATCCCTTCCCTGGCCTGTCTTCCACGCGTGGCCGTAAAATGCACTCTAGTCATGTCACTATCCTGCTTAGTGACCCTTAGTGACTTCCCGTCATTTCCTGAACGAGGTCCAGACTTTTAGCTGCCACATCAGGCCATGGTGCCCTGGCCTTGCCTCCTGCCTATGGCCCCAACCAGGTAAATTATTTGCAGCTCTCTTGTGTGCTGTTCCCTCTTCCAGGAAAGTCCTCCTTCTGACCCACCACTCTTTAACAGCCGCCATCTGCTCTTGCTCTGATTCCATGTTGACCCAACCACAGGGCTTCCGTGGGTACGCACCTGAAAGTCTGGCCGCCGGATGATTCTATTTCTCAGGGTGAAACAGGAGGCATCCTCTGGGAGCTTGGCTAACACGAGCACACCCCTGAGGGGTAAATCCGAGGCCAGGGGGTATGGGAAGGTCAGCCTGAGGGCCAGCCCTGGGATTGCTAGGAGCTCATTTAAGGTCATGCTGCCACAGGGGACCTGCCTGGGGGCCTGCTGGCTTGCCCCAGGTGGCACCAGACCTTGACGGTATCCTTTCTCTGCAAACTGCAGCAGATTAGACCCAAAGAACGTCCCCCTCAGCTAGATGAGACACTGAAGCCCAGACAGCACAGGGACAATGGTGACCGGTATATTCATCTTGGTTGTGCCTCGGGAACAGTTACAGGCTCCCTACGACCGTGATTCCCAAGTCTGCCAAGTAGGCGAGGTACCTAGGGAGCAGGTGAAAATAGAGGGGCTAGGCCCACACCCTGAGGGGGGTAGGCGGGTCTGAGGTGGACCCAGCATCTGTGCTCTTGATGTGTTTGCTTATATTTACAGCAACCCAATTCTGAGTTCAGTCCAAGAATTTGACCGGTTGATATTAAAATGGTACATATAGGAGCACCTGGGTGGCTCAGTTGAGCCTCCGACTTCAGCTCAGGTCATGATCTCACAGTTCATGAGTTCGAGCCCACATCGCTGCTGTTAGCCCAGAGCCTGCTTCAGATCCTCTGTCCCCTTCTCTCTCTACCCCTCCCCAACTCGAGCTCCCCCCCCACGCCCAAAAGATAAATAAAACATTAAAAAAGCTACAGATAAAAGGTCTCTAAAAGGCTGGAAGTGAGGGTGGGGGAGGGTGGGGGGGTATTTTCCTATCTTTACTGTGTACAGGTATTGTGGGGTGTTTTGCTTCGATTATTATGCAAGAAGAATCTTAAGTGATTATGGCTCATTATACTATTCATTTCTATTTGTAATTCACTCTTTTCCCTTATTGGAGTACTTTTAGAGTAGGATGAGAGTATAGGGAAGTATAAAAGTAAACAGTTCTGGCTGCTTTCTGCTCAAAACCGAGTGTGGTGGTGTCCTGACAGAGAGCTGGGTTCTGTTCTTCCATCAGCCACTTCCCACTATGAGCCTTGGGCAGCGCCCTTATCCTTTCAGAGCCTTAATTTCCCCCTTTGTAAAAGGAGAGGTCTTAACCAGTTAAGCCCTGGGATCCCTTTCAACTTTCAGATAGCATCGTGTGTGTTAAGTTCATGCACCACCGCCAGGGGGAGCTAACTCCACGATTAGCTGTGCCTTGGATCAAAGCCCCTGGAACCATAGTCAAGATGTAGACCTTGTGTTTTTCAGCCTGGCATCTCCCAAGCTAAGAGCCCCAGGGTTTGGAAGGCTTAGATGAGGGTATTTTGCAGACTAATTTGTTGTATAAGACAAATCGTA